TTTTTCATTGCAATCTTTTGCTTTGCCCTATCTACGTAAATACCAAACTAAAAGGATGATGTAAATGGACTTTCTTATATATTATTGTGTACTATGTAAATACAAGAATTTACATAGTACACAATAAAATAAAAAGATAACTATATGAAATTATTTTTAAAATAATTTGTAAAATCCAAAACATGTAATTATTTTTTTTTAGTAATAGAATTAATGAAATTTATTTGGTAGAGGTAGTTAATAGGTTTTGATTAATAAAATTTGATAAAAAAATTCAATTTAAATTAGTTTGGAAATCAGTAAGAAACATACAGGCCATGTTTCGTAAAATAGTTAGCCTAACCAATTTTGACTTATTTGAACACTATTAATTGTTTGACTTGATTAAAAAATTAATATAAGTGTTTGGTTAATTAACTTTTTGTAACTTCAAAATGCTAAAATTTAAAAAGCTGCTCAAAGTAACTTTTTCAATTAGCTTTTTTTTTTTTTTTTTTTTTTTTTTTTATAAAAATAAGTTATATCAAAAGCTATCAGCTAACAGCTAATTTACCAAACACATTGCTACAATCAACTAATTTTATCAACTAGTTATACCCTCTAATTAACCTAATCAGCTAACAGCTAACAGTCATTTACCAAACAGGGCCATAATTTTTGTTTTTAATAGTTATAGAGAACTATATCTATATCTATAAAATAAAGTTCTACCAAAGAGTTTTTCTGTCTATTTTCATATGTTGTATGATATGTTGGGCGTCGGTCGAGTTGGCAGAGTTTAGCCTCTTCTCAATTTGAAGCGTGGTGTTGTGATTATCAGGGAGAGTTGTGATTAAATGTTTAATATTCACCTACTTATCACCAATTGATTTTAAGAAGGATATAACAACCAGATAAACAAAAAACTCTGTAGTTAAGCTGCTTGACTTACATAATAAGTGACCAAAGTTGATAGTACCTCAAACTTATTAGAGAACCTTTAGTGGAATTTACTCTATTTCTAAGAATACATGGTCTTCTCTTTTACTTAAATCAAACATTGTTTGTTGTAGCACAAATTTTAATTTTCTATTCTAAATCTATATTGCTTTAATTAAAATGTACATTTTATTACAAGTTGATCTATTATGTATGAGACAAAATTTCTCTCTATTTTAAGAATTTAAATGCAAAAATTTCATTATCTAATCAATCTTATAGGGGAAAAATAATATTTCAAAATATCAATGAGTTCACAAGATGAATATGTCAAATATATATAACAACAATTGAGGTCCAAATCATATACACAAGAAAAACTTATGAATTCATATGTTATAACTTAATTATATAACTCTTTAATTACTATTCGACAACACCATATCAGTAAGCCTATTAGAAACATGTCACTTTTAACAACTCATTTTTACTACTACATTTATTACATGTTGAAAATACTCACTTTGATTATATTAAAAATAATCATTTATATTTTATATTAATTATTTAATATTAAAAAATTGTATTAAGTATTTATTATTTTGATGTTCGTGTTGGCAGTAATTTAATCGCGCAATGCGAGCAGTATAACTAGTATATATATGAAGACTATATAATACTCAACTTCAACATAAACATTTGCCTCACATCACAATATACGTAGAGATTTTCTCAACATAAAATTTCAAAATAATACATTTTCAAAAGAAATCATTTTTAGTAAGTATGGAGGAATATCACATCAACCAACCAAATAATGGGCAATGTCCTAATTACTTAAGCCCTAGTGAACAATAATAACTCTAATGAACACTACACAGAAATTCTATTTAAACCAATCAAATAATGGGAAAGGTCTTAATTAATAAGCCCTAGTGAAAAGTAATCACTCCATTGAACACAACGCAAATTAAAAATTCATTTAAGTGGAACATAACTAATACCTTAAGTGTGCGCACCCCTAATGGGTTTCCAAACCCAATGAGTAGTAACTAGTCCTAGTAATTAGGATGTATTTCTATTGACTACTACTCAACAGGGTAAATACCCTAGTGGTGGACTCCGCTAACCACTCATAATTGTATCAAATCTTAACAATTTTGAGTGAGCAGCAATGCATTAAAAACAAACCTTTTGTTTATACAAGCAATTCAAAGGGTATCTCTTTAAAAAAAAAAGAAGTAAAATTAGTGTTATTTATTAAAAAAAACACTGGTTTCATAATTTTTTTTTTAAAAAAAAGGATTTCAAATTTCGGTTTGGTTTCTGTTGGAAACCATACTGGTTTCCGCATCTTTTCGGCTGTGGGTTTTTATTCCCACAGCCGGAAACCATCTCAGGTGTCCGATGTTCGTTAGATCGGTCACCGGAGACTAAAATAAATTTAAAAAAAAAAAAAGAGAGAGAGAAATACCTTGGTGATTGATGGAAGAAGAGATTTGGGAGATAATTATATTGCTAGATTTATAATTAAGATAATTATATTTAGAAATATAAATTTTATTTTTGTATGATTAATATAAGTAAATAAGTATATGTATGCAGATTTACAAATTGTGAAGCACATTTATTTAATTTTATAATTTCATTTCCTTAATTATATTTCATATTACCTTAATTATAATTAATAAATTGCACTTAGAAATTAAAAAAAAATTAATTTTTAAATTTTGTATGAGTTAATGTAGTCATTCACTAACAATATGTAACATATTTAGGTATATTTATAAATGTTTATGAATTTTCTAATTAAGAGAATGAGTTTAGGCAAATTTTAAAATGAAATTTTCTTAATAAGTAACCATTGTAGCAATCAATGTGTATAATTATTGTAGTAATCACAATTTTATAAAATATATATATATATATATATATATAGAAAAACGCTCATATGTGGTCATGTCATTAGGTGTGGTCGTGTGGTCGTATCTGGGTCGTTGAATCAGTTTAATCTAAAGGCAATGGTAATTCTGAGAATTTTCGCGCGTTTTAGTAAGTGGGGGTGTTATGGTAATTACAGTGACCATTTATAGCGGGCGGGTTCCAGAATACACCAATAGTGTTGACAACATACACCAATAGTGTAATAAAACACACCACAGTGAAACACACCAATGGTGTATTCCCGTGTTATGGTAATTACAATGGCCATTTATAGCGGTCGGGTTCCAGAATACACCAACAGTGTTGACAACATGCACCAATAGTGTAATAAAACACACAACAATGTGATTTTCCCTATTCCGGTGTTTTATGACAAGTTTACCCTTACACTTCTCTGGGTAGGAGAATGTGCGCGAAAATACTGGAAAAAATCTTGATTAATATGAATCATTAGATCTATCTAATCTAATGGTCTATAATTGACCATATGACCACACCTAACAACATGGCCACATGTGAGCGCTCCTCTATATATATATATATATATATATATATATATATATATATATATATATATATATATATATATATATATATATATATATATTTAATAGCATACAAAATACTATAAATATAATATATCTCTATATAAATGGATAGAAAGAGATGTTGATAATACTGTTGTTATTATATAAATATAGATAATTAAATATAATATCATATTTTTTCTTGTATACAAAAATATTCTTATTTTAAAATTTTACATTGATACTCGATTTTTAATTTAGGGACTATATTAGCCCTACAAAAAATTTTAATTTTAATTTTGTATGCTATGAAAATAGATACCTTACCAAATATATATGGAAATTCCTATTATATTGTTATATGTAAATATCTTTTCATTTTCTTTTCAAAATTTTTTTAAATAAATGATAACATAAACCGTGCATCGCACATGTAAAATACTATTTGATTTTATAATAAGAGTAATATCAAGTTTTTGTTATAAAGTAATACAACACATACTTCAATTTTTTACTCTATTTTCTATCTTTACTTACATGACACATCTTGATTTATTAAAAAAAAAAAAATGTAAACCATAATTTTAATTCTTTCTTTTTTCAATAAAATTAAGACACCAGACGAAAATTTTATTTTCCGAAAAGTACACTTCCTTGCGTAGAGTGGTTCAAGAAATCCAACTTAGATGATCATTATATTGCCAATTTTGGCGGCTTGGAATCACATGCTGCCCATATTGGCCTACTATGACACTAGCCTCCAGCCCCCTCTCCCGCCGCTATACACATTGGTTGATGTTCAGAGAACTAAGGTGGTTTGAGAAAAAGGACCCAGGATGCTAGAATGTTTAGATTAAATTTTTGGTGTGTATATGAAGATTATAATATAATTAGTGGGTCAATTGTATAACTCATGATTTTCCTTTACAGTGATTTTAAGAGTAAAGTTCTGCAAGTATAAGATTAGTATGTTAAAATTGAGATCATCTAAGTTTAAAAAAATTAGTTACATACATAGCATAAGAACAATTGTAACTATAATTGTAGGAATATCAATTCAAATAATAAGTTGAATATTAACGTGGATAAAAAATAAAAAAAAATCAGTCCGACGAAGCATGTGAGAGGATGTAAATCACAGTGACTCAATGACTAATGTCGGTGCGCTGCCGCTATGGATATTTGAATCTTAGTTTTTTCTCTCAAATATTGTTTATCGAACCAGTGAGTTAAGCTCGTGTGGCAACAAAGGATAATGAATTGAAATTGTGTGGATATATAAAAAGTAATGGGTAAATTGTAATAGAGTCTTATTTTTGAAAATGAGAAAGCACTGCATGGATAAATAAAGCCTAACCATTACTAATTAATTAAATATTTTAGATGGATAATGATTGGACGGAAAGGAATTAGGGTTCATGTATATACTTGATTTTGTATGGATTCTAGATTTAAGCATTATATTATCAAGAAGTTTCCCTCATGAAGCAAGAAGCTTCCTGGGAAGAGCCAAGAAGCATGCAGCAGTACGCGTAGTGGAATGATAGATAATAAAGTCATAAAGACCAAATAAATATAATAAAACTCACCTAAAACAAGTGTATATAAGTTGAGCAGAACAGAGCACCTCACCAACAAACAAACACATAATTCAAACTATAACACCCACCCTCAAATTACCCATTCTTTCAACTCTTCTTCTTTATTGGCTTTCTTGAATTTTCATAGTATTCTTAGAACATGCCAATAATGGAGATGTTGCCGGAAGATTGCCTTTCCACCATTCTTTCCCTCACTTCCCCACTCGACGCCTTCCGTCTATCATCGGTATCTTCCACCCTCCGCTCCGCCGCCGACTCCGACTCCGTCTGGGGCGGATTCTTGCCGCCGGATTATAAAGAAATCGTCGCAAAATCTGTAACGGCGACCACGTTTTCGTCAAATAAGGACCTCTTTGTCCGTCTCTGCAACTCCATACTCATAGATGATGGTAAAAAGGTACTGTACTGTTTCCCAGCTTAATTTCTTTCAGCTTTGGAAATTGGAACTACTCTAAAATCAAACCAATAAGAAATAGTACTAAAGATGTAAGATTTATATTTACAGAGCTTTGCACTAGAAAAGTCAAGTGGTCTGAAGTCATATATGCTGTCTGCAAAAGAGCTCTCAATTTTATACAGTGACGAGCCTGAGCATTGGACATGGAAATCCATCCCAGAATCAAGGTAATTAAATCCAATTCTTGCAAAATCTTGTCAAGAATTCAAATTGCAAGAAACCCAAAATTCTCCAAACTTATTAATGCGTGCTAATTAAACTTCATTCAACTGCTTACAGGTTTTCAGAGGCGGCGGAGCTGAAAATGATCTGCCGGCTAGAGATTGAAGGGAAAGTGAAACGAGGGATTTTGTCGCCAAACACCAACTACGGCGTTTATCTGGTGATGAACATATCGGACGGCGCCTTTGGGCTTGATTCGAGGCCGTGCGAGATGTCAGTCAAAGTGGGTGATCGAGGAGCCGCCGCCGCCGGCATTGCGTATTTGCAGGCCGCCGGCGGTGCGGAAGAGCGGCGGCCTTATAGGAACCGCGTTGGCGTTGAAATGGCGAAGCCGCAAGGGATTGAAGGCGGCGAGAGACGAGATTCACGGCGGAGGAGCGATGGGTGGATGGAGGTTGAGCTCGGAGAGTTCTTCAACGGCGGAGAAGACGGCGGCGATGAGGAGATTACGATGAGTTTGTCGGAGGTCAAAGGTTGTCACGTTAAAGGCGGACTTATCGTACAAGGCATTGAAATTAGACCTAAATTCCGATCATAATTTTAATCTTTTTTTTTTTTAATTATCATAAACTGTAATTTTTAATTAGTCACGAAAATGATTGTTTTCATTCTTTGAAGGATCAAAATAGAAAGGACTAAAACAATCACAAATAAAAGTTACACTTTTAATTACTAAAATATTTCTAACAAGTAAGGATTAAATTTATATTTTGATGTGACTTAAAGATTAGAAATGCAATTATTATCTTTTTAAAAAGAGGATATTGTTTCGTTGTTGTCTGTTGTTGAATTTCAATCTCATTTATATTTTTATGTTAATTAATTCTACAATAAGTAATGATTAGCATTAGGTTTAGACTAAAAAAAATTAAGGGACAGGAGTTGTTGTCCACTTATCCACAAAGACTTCAAATATAGTCTTCTCCCCATACATTTATGATTTATTCTTGTGGGTAGCCTGATTTGTTTGACGCGTTGACTTATCTTGTAAACTCATTATTTAAACTGTTGATTAATAATATACATAAAATCCTTTCAAAAAAATATACATAAAATATTAATATAAATTATAATTAAGGAAATTATATTATAGAATTTGCCTAAATACATATTAAGTGTATATACAATGTATTATACAATTGTATTAAGAAATGTGTCCGGGGCACCTTTAAGAGGCAAAGTATTAGCCAGATTGATTGTTCTATCAAGAGGGATTTTGAACTCCCAACTCCTGCCAATTAATAAATTTACTCCACAAAAGTATACCATTATACCAACATCAAATATGTAAATTAAGACGAGATTAATTGTAATGTGGTACCCAATCGAACAAGTCTAATCCCTTCCCTATAGCTTTATAATGAAATAATGGCCTCAACTTTAGATGTATAGGACTATAACATGTAACATAAACAGCAAAATGAAGTAATCATTAATTATTTAGACTGTAAAGATGTCTGATTACCAAAAGTGAGGTTGAAGCAAAATGTGCATAAAGGCAGTAACTTTATTGCAGAATTTACCATCTTTTACTCAACTGAGAACTCATACACCATGGTGTGTTGATACTTTTCACCAGGCTGGACAATAACGGACGGGAAATTCGGTGTGTTGACAGCATTCGGGAAGCCCTGAGTCTCTAAACAAACCCCGGCATGCTTATTGTAGACGGCCCCACCTTTTCCAACGACCCCATTCACATAGTTCGCGGTGTAGAATTGCATCCCAGGGGCGTTCGTCCATAAGTTAAGAACCCTGCAGCTCTTGGGATCCTTGATCTTCACCGCATGCTTCAACCCGGACTTCTCGACTCCACAGTCGAGTACGTAGTTGTGGTCGTACCCTAAACCAACCTGCTGGATATCTCGGCCAATCTTCTTTTCGGTGGTGAAATCAAACGGAGGAGTGTCTTTAACCGCCTTTATTTCTCCGGTAGGAATAGTGTTCTGATCCACCGGGGTATAGTGATTAGCCCACAACTGAGCAGTGTGTTCGAGAATGTCCCCTGAATTGTGGCCCGCGAGGTTCCAATAAGTATGTTGAGCCAAACTGACTGGAGTTGCCTTGTTTCCAAGAACAGCTTCCATGTCAAGCCTCAGTGTTGTCTTAGCAGTAAGACTGTATGTTGCAGTAATGGAAAGATCTCCCGGGTAACCTGGACATCGAGATTCCGATGATGATGATGAGTTCTAAGGATATAAAATTATTCCATAAAATAAAAATCAAGAAAGATGTGATATGTACCTTCCTCCCCATCATGACTATGATATTTGAAGGAAATTGATGGATTTTCACCCTCCTTAAATTCAGAAACCTCCCAGACAACCTTGTCATATCCCTTCATTCCACCTTAAACAGAAAAAACAGTCAAAATAATTCAATATTCCCTACATAATGTAGAAGATCATCATCCTACATAATAAACCAATAAAGGACCGTTGGCTCGATAAACACAAGATTCCAATTTCAACTCCTATATTGGTAACCACAATGTTCCAAGTTCAATTATCTATTGGCCTTCTTGGCTTGAGCCGGTCAGCTCTGAGCTTAAAGTACACTTCGGGTAGTGGTTGTGGGTTTCTCCGTAAATCAAAACCATCCTGCTTGACTCAAACCAAGCTACTATCCAATATCTCATCGAATCAAATAGCAATGAAATAGAATCTATACTACATTCTGATTATGAAGAACTCACCATGGAGACTGTTAGGGGGCCTGTTTAATGGCAGAGAATATCCAACTCCATTGAGTGTGAATTTCCCATCTTTGATCCGATTGGCCACCCGCCCCACAATGCATCCAAAGTATGGACCCATCCCTTTCTGAACTCATATCATCATTATCACCAATTCCTCGTAAGAAAACACAAAATATATATGAAATGGGGTCACAAAACTCACCTGGTAGGGTTCAAGCGTGTCGAATCCAAGAACCACATCATCCAATTTCCCTTCAAAAATCACACACACGCAACAGAGATATGAGATAAAGATTGGATCTTTATATGAGTGAATAAATGATCGAAGGAAGGCGGCATACCATCTTTATCTGGTACAGACAAGGAGGTGATGGTGCAGCCATAGTTTGAAACCTTAACTTGGATTGTGCCATTGTTGAGTTCAAAGATATTTGCTTCCGCCATTGTTCTACAATCACCAAAATTCTCGAGATACTTCGTTCGATGTGTTGCAGCAGTGGGAAGGCATTGTTATATCTAATGGGTTGTGGGCTAGGGTTAGAAATGGGTCATGGACAGCAGGCTTAACATTAATAATAATTAATAATAATAATAACACCACCCTGAAATTACCCAATCTTTCAACTCTTCTTCTTCTTCTTCTTCTTCTTCTTCTGGGCTTTCTTGGATTTTCATAGTATTCTTAGAACATGGCAATGAAGAATTTGGAGATGTTGCCGGAAGATTGCCTTTACACCATTCTTTCCCTCACTTCCCCACTCGACGCCTTCCGCCTATCATCGGTATCTTCCGCCGTCTGGGACGGATTCTTGCCGCCGGATTATAAAGATATCGTCGCAGCAGATGGGCGGATGGAGGCTGAGCTAGGAGAGTTCTTCAACGGCGATGAGGAGATTACGATGAGTTTGTCGGAGGTCAAAGGTTGTCACGTACAAGGCGGACTTATCGTACAAGGGCATTGAAATAATAAGACCTAAATTCCAATCATAATTTTAATCTTTTTTTTTTCTAAAGTAAAAGTGATATTACTTGATAATTTAATTCTAATTTTGAAAATTTTACCTCAAATTTGAAAAAAAAAAAAAAAAATTAATGTTTAAAATTCGATAACGGCAATGTGGAGATTATACTCAAAGTGAGCAAATCTTTTGTGGGCATCAACATATTTACCTCATCCTATGTGTTCTGTAGGGTTATGGAGTGGGAGAGAGGGTCTTGGGGTTGGAGATTCAGTCTTTGAGAGAAAAAAATTAATGTGATACGGACTTATTTATCTTGTTGTAAGTTATAAGCTTCGACTTTATGTAATACATGTATATTTTTTCAATAATTAATTTCATTATTGATTTATTGGCTATTATATTTTTTTTTATTTCAACTTTTGTGTTTGCAATTGATCAAATGTAGTATTGAACTATTAAAAATGTAAAGAGTATTATTTTGTCTGTCTAAGACATTAAATGAAACTTAAAAGTCAAATCATAACTTTCACAATGAGTGGAATAATCTTATAAAATTCAAATTTAATTTTTGGTTAGAAAAAATGTGCAGCAATATCAATTAAAAGAATTTTATTAAAAGAATAATTGCTTCTTTTTTTTTTTTTTTTTTTTTTTTTGTCTTTTAAGTTATAATTTTTCTTTTAATTTTTAAGTTATAAAATAATACGGAGTATAAATTTAGTCTTTAATTATCATAAACTATAATTTTGACTTTTAATTAATCACGAAAATGATTGTTTTCATTCTTTGAAGGATCAAAATAGAAAGGACTAAAACAATCAAAAATAAAAGTTACACTTTTAATTACTAATAAAATATTTCTAAACAATGAAAAAATTATAACAAGTAAGGATTAAATTTATATTTTGATGTGACTTAAAGATTATAGAAGTGCAATTATTATCTTTTTAAAAAGAGGATATTGTTTTGTTGTTGTCTGTTGTTGAATTTCAATCCCATTTATATTTATATTTTTATGTTAATTAATTCTACAATAAGTAATGATTAGGATTAGGTTTAGACTAAAAATATTAAGGGGCAGGAGTTGTCCACTTAGGCACTAATCCTCAAAGATTTCAAATATAGTCTTAAGGGGCAGGAGTTGTCCACTTAGGCACTAATCCTCAAAGATTTCAAATATAGTCTTCTCCTCATACATTTATGATTTATTCTTGTGCATAGGCTGATTTGTTTGACACTTAGACTTCGTCTAGTAAACTCATTATTTAAACTGTTGATTAATAATATACATAAAATATTAAGAAATTATAATTAAGGAAATTATATTATAGAATTTGCCTAAATACATTAAAAAAAAAAACTAAATACATATTAAGTGTATATACAATTATATAAGGAAATGTGGGCCAGTAACATTCAAAAAAAATATAAGGAAATGTGTCCCAGAGACACCTTTAAGAGGCAAAGTACTAACCAAATTAATTGTTCCATACAGAGGGGGTTTGAACTCCCGACCACTCTTAAGGAATGAGAGTGCACGACCACTTATGTCAACCAAGCTAGTTTATACTCATACAAAATTGGTCATGTCATAATAATATTGGGACCAAAAAGGAATGTTATGATAAAAAAGGACTAAAAATACATTATTTGTATACTGAATGTACATTATTTGATAGTATAGTCCACATAGCTGTGTGGACCATGGTCCACGCAATAGTGATTGGCGAGAATACAAAAAGATGCACACCCAAAACTAATTATGTTTATGTCGGGTAGAACCGAGGCCAGTACCATCTCATCCATCCACACCCCGTATGTTGCATTTAATCTTCATTAATTGAACTTTGGTCTGGAAAGCCTAAATGCAGAGGATGCATATGTTCATTCCCTTGCTAAACTGATCTCAATATCAACCTTCACCTAAGAGTGGTGAGAATTTTTTAATTTTTTAAATTCCAAGCCACTTAACATTTGCAATCTTTCAAAATTTAGATTGCAAAAATGCTAGTCTTTTCAGCCTCACCTTGCAAATGTCAAGATATTGTGACATTCCAAAAAATGAAAAATTTCTTGGGTGACATAAAATGCTATCCTTACCTCTTTCAGGGGCTCGGATGGTCTAATGTTGTCTCTATGGTATCAATGCAGCAGCCGACTGATCGCCCCGAACCCATGGCCTCTGCTAGCCTTAATCTAACTTCACGATAGCCAATTAATATCACTAAGCTGTTAAGGACTGCCCATCTTAAGTGCAATTCGGCATCGTCCTCTCTGGAGTACAACCATTTCAGCACTTTGTCCAACTATCCCATAATGCATTTCAAGGTAGTCGGTCATTGCTACTTAAACCAGGAAAATCACAGCACTACACTAACCTTCTCAACATCCGAGTGAAGTAATTCTGAGTATCCAAACTCCAAGTACTCCGCAACCAGCCCTCCCAGTGTTACGCATAAGAACCTGTTCAAAGCCTAGCGTCGAAGACAAGATAGCAAGAAGGTCAGACGTTTGGAAAATTATGAAGATACGGTTTCTTAAGATGATGCCTGAATTGATGAAAACTGAGAATGTATCTGACCTTTGATGACACTTTGTTTGTGTTTACCTGAAAGGATGCGTAATCTGTTACAGAGTGAATCCAGGTAGAACCACAAAACAATAACACTATAATGACTTTGGCCTTGTTTGGTAAAATAGTTAGCCTATCAGCCAATTTTGGCTTGTTTGACCACTATTAGCTGCTTGACTTGGTTAAACAACCAATATGAGTATTTGATTAATTAACTTTTTGTAACAACTTATTGTTTCAAAACACTAAAATTCAAAAAGCTGCTCAAAACAGCTTTTTCGATAAGCTTTTTGAGAAAGTCATTTTGTATGTAATCAGCTATCAGCTAACAGCTAATTTACCAAACATCTTTCTACAATCAGCTAATGTTATCAACTAGTCAAACACGCTAATCCAATCAGCTAACAGCTATTTAACAAACACCCCCTTTGTCAAAACTGCATAAAGTCCGCAAAGTTTTGGAGAAGTATAGTTTGCAAGATGGAAGGGTGAAATTAACACTCGGAAGGAAAGAAAACTGTCATGGTTTGTCTATCGAACAGGTATCTGAAGCTCTTAATGTCATTGCATTATGGTGTACACTCAACATAATGGCATTATAAATACAGTACAATAAGAGAAGAAATATTTAGTTCTGGGTAAATGTTGCTTCTATTTATGATTCAAACAAATTACTCTCACCTCAACCTTTTGCTTTATTTTCGTAAGTTTTTTGCATGGTACAGTTGAAGCACCAACCTGGAATACATGGAAGTTCAGAAAAGTAAACTCTAGGAAATAACATGAGAAAGCCATAGGAAAATAGAACCATTTTTACCCATGTACTTCAAGAAAGACAGTTACCATGTTGCAAGTACAAATATCAAATTATTTTATGAGTAACTGAAGAAGAAAATTTCAGAAGGAATTCACTATAAATACAGGAAGAAACCATTATAAGGGTATCTAAGCGAGAATTTAACATAATGAAGAAAAAACTCTAAATAGCAGTCAATTTTCAAAAAAGAAGTTTGGCTGATATCCTACAACATAAGGGCAAATGATCTTACTTCTCTGAGAAAATCAAAGCCACAGAACTCAACATTTCCCGGAGCAAACTTGTCCTGCATTAAATCTTCCACACTAGGTACTTTGTATCTATATGGTAAAACCCCCACCAAGTAACCTACAAGAAAATGACCTGCCTCGTGCTGCCAAAGGTGAGTGAATTAGTGAAATTAGTCAAAGCACTAAAGCAATTTCCTTTGTAAACACATCTGAAGCTTTCTAGAGAGCTTAGTTAATTGCAGTCACCACTCCTTCAATTCATGGGCTTCGGTAATAGCACATTTGAAGCATGTGACCTTATTATTACTAAAAGGAAAGAGGATGAAAATGATGGCTCACTTGAATACATATTTGATGGTCTTCAAGAGCGGAACTAGAGGCTTCACTAGAATCAGTGTCCACAGAGTTTTCCATTGCCAAAATTGAGGCCTACAAGAAGAGATTGAGACTAAGTCATCTGATTAACCATAAATCTGCATCTACAGAGTTAAGAAAGTTTTGCACTGTAAGAATATGAAAGAAAACTTTTCTAAGTAGCAAATTAAGTCAGTATGTCATGTCTCTCAAGCGGCAGTATTGGAGACCAAAAGAAAAGAAAGGCTAGTTGTATCAATATCTGCTTACAAGACTATATAAATACTTCTTACAAGTTCCTGATTCTTGATTACACAGGTGAACAAAAGAAAGCAACAACCTCACACAAACATTCAAATGCCATATTTACCCATTATTTTGGTCTTGATGTTATCTTTCTTCCTCTACATCTACTTAGTTCCAACTAAATGTGAATGCTAGCAAGTTATAAGGTTTAAACACTGCGGTCCCAATATCCAATTATGGACATAAGTACATTGAGCACCATAAATGCAGATCAAATACCTCCTCATCTAACGATGCAAACTCGATGCTGCACTTGATCGAATGTATAATAGAATCAACTAGCCGCTCAAGAGACGTTGTATCAAGCAAATTCACGTTCAATCCATCAAGCTCCACAACCCTTTTAGGAACCTAAGCAAATATTACTAAAATAACTGAGAAAACACACATTTTATTTCGTAACCACAAAGCATACTGCAAATTAGAGTGCCACACCGAGCAAGGTAGCCGGCTAGCCCCAGGTAGATGTTCATTGCATCTGAACTACATGTTCATAGAGTTTGAACTAAACATTTGGTATCCAAATGTAATCATGGTTGAACTATACATTAAACCGAAGTTTATGTTAATCCAATTAGTCAGAGCTCATATAACTTTTCACTGGTCCTAAATTTTACCAATTAATATAATAAAAGCATGCCTATTTAACCTTATCATATTCGATTAACAATTCCTTTTTCCTCTAGAATGCAAATTTTTATAGAATTTGAGAACAAGATAAAATGAAACTATAAATGCGCTACCAGTTGGGCGGCGGCGAAGCCGCGGAGGCCACCGGGCTTTCCTTGCAGCTGCTTAACGAGAGATACAGCCGCCTTGTAATTCCCCTTCTCTAGTTCCCAGTCCACTCTTCTCAGTGCCCGTCGTCGTCGTATTCCCTCCGCCCCATTCGCTCTCGCCCAAATCAAGGCTCGATTCCTCGCCGGCGCGGGAGCTGAAAGCTCTCTCAACGGGAAACTCATCCACGGGCAAAGGCAGGTGTATGGTACGAAGGCTTCCGTTGGGACAAATTTGATTTTTGGAAAAAATGTAATTTTAGTTTCTTAATTATTTCTTCTTTTAAAAAATAAAAAAATAAAAATAAAGGCAAATTAATTAATCATAAGCATAAATGTTTACAATACAGATAATGCATTCTTTACCGTCAAACATAGAAATAAATTTCCTAGCAATGTTATAGAAAATTCGGATCGCTGATTGTTTTACAAACTTGAAGCCGAAGTTGTTGGATGAACTTGGTGCTTCTTTCTTCACAGATATGGTCAAACATAGCCAAGCCTGACTTTGGTGAGACCATTTTATCATTCCATGCTTATGAGAAGAACTCGCCAAAGAAACAAGAGGAAAACTCGCCAAAGAGACGAGAGGGAAACACTAGCCAGAGAGACGAGAGAAAACAAACTAGTCAAAGGAACAAAAGGATAATGTAAAACCAAAAGAAAACAACATGAACAAAAAAGAGGGTGGAAAACTTGTCAGATCTGTAGAGTCTCTGAAGCCTTCTCTGAAAAACAATCGGAGATGATCTGAGATCTAACACTTAATCCTAAAACAGTCGGAGGATAAAGTCTACTAATGGCACCGCCGGCTCAACCCTCTATCAGAGCGTCAGCTGGTAGCACCAAGTCGTCGGGCCTTTACTTTGTGGGAGCAACCGAAAATGGGAAAGAAAGTGATTGAGTTTTGGGAGAGAAAGCGGTTTTTCAGTTAGAAGGGATTATAATGAAAGCAATGTTTCTTAATTATTTCTAGTTAGTTTAGTTTCAAACTTTTTATTTTTACAATATATACTCATCACTCTTCAAAATTGTTACAGTTTTAACACCTAGGACAATAAAATTTAAAAATTATTAGTAAAATTTTGCTTAGTACGTGTTATTTTAGTATTTTTTAATGTTTATTCTTTAATTATTATTATCTTGTTTAGTCACGATATTTTATCTATATCTACATCTACAAATCTAATAAGAGCCAATAATATTAGGCTCTTAACTGGAACAAAAAAAAAATGTAGGTAGTAGTTGTTTCTTAAAATGAATGGTTCATATTATTTTGATTTTAGTAATTTAATTTTTAATAATTTTTCTTATTTACCCTTTATTATATTATTTTCTTCCCTTAAATAACCCTAAATTTCGTTGGTATAAACTTTAGTAACGAAATATTTCGTTAACTATTTATTATTCTTAACATACTCATTAATTTATATAAGAAAGGTCTTAGGTTCGAACCACATCCCAATTAAAGTTGGCATAATTGTTAAACATATATTATGAATATGTTAAAATGCATTATATATATATATATATATATATATATATATATATATATATATATATATATATATATATATATATATATATATATACGCCAGGGGCGCGCGTTGCTTCCCACGATCCCAGAGACGACGTTCCGCGGGCGTATCAAAGGCCCGGGCTTTGGCCGCCCCCCGAATCCTCGCTGGTCCGCGCCCCGAGTAGATCGGCGGACCGGCTCTCACCGTTCCACATACTACCGGGGCGCATCGCCGGTCTCCATCCGCATTTAATTAAGTAGTACAATAAGCTCTAAAACAAATGTATATGCCATTTTGGCACGAGAACGACGTATCGGATCCCATGAGGTCACTTATATGGATGAGGTCATGAGATCTCATCCCATCCATTAAATCATTACAAATAGAAGGTTGAGATTGAATGAGATTTCTTATATATTTAAGGTAGTAGTCTAAGCATAAGGGTGAATTAGTCATTGTATTCTTAAACTATTTTTTGGTTACAAATCAATTGGGATACATACCATCCGAATGGTAATATGATTAGATATATATTAACAGTAACAAACGCTATTCATTTTGTAGCCTGAAGTGTTTGTTCCTGAAGTCTACATGTGCTCTGTGCAAGTTCGTGTTATGTCTGTGCAAGATTTCTCGGTAATTGAGTTTAGCCTTTTCAATTTTAATACTATTGAAGGTATGTGCTACTTATATGTTTTTAGCGTTTGCATGTTAGAATACAGTCTGTGTAAGATGTCAGTCATATTTAGGTAAGCGTGTCCAAAATAGTTTAATAGCGTGTGGAAATTATGTTTTAGTTGTGCAAGTTTGTGTAATAGCATGTGCAAGTTTGTGTAGTAGCCTGTGCAAATTACTGTAAAGTGTATGCATTGTATTCGTAATGAGAGTGCAAGATATGTGAAAGTGTTTTGTAATACCGTGCAATTCGATTTTAATGATGGATTGTATTATGAGCAATTCAATTTTAATACGAGTGGAGGCTATGTGATAGTTATATGTTTCTAGCGTATGCATGTTAGCATAATGTCTGTGCAAGATGTCTTGTATGTTTAGTCTAGCGTTTCCAATAAAGCTTAATAGTGTGTACAAATTTTGTTTTAGGGTGTGCAAGTTAGGGTAGTTGCATGTGCAAGTTAAGGCAAAATATGCCCTAGCCTTTATTGAGATTGGCAAGCAATTATAAATTGATAAATTCTCCATTAGACGACGAATTGTACATGCGTGTGCATCATGTGCGACCAAATAAAACTGCGTAATAAGTCATGGAGAACAAATTAAGGGGCAGTGTTGTTGGGTTTTGGTGGTCTGTGCGTAGGAATCACACGGTTAGTGCAAGTGTAGTAGGTTGAGTTGAATGACGGTCACAAATGTATGTGTAAACTGCTCAAAAAGGTGTATGCGTTAGCTTATGGAGCAGTGTGCGAATAGTTGTTAGTTTAATATGGGCTGGATAATGTGGCATTCCGATTTATGGGTGCGTTGGTGCGATTTAGAGTGTTAGTTTAATGTGAGTAGGATAATGTGGCATGCCGATTTATGGGTGCGTTTTTGCAAATTAGAAGGATTTTTCCATTGAGATAGCTTCTTAAAATGATTTTAAATGATGGTTTTGCGTACATGTAGACGTGAAGGTGTGAAGAATTTGCCCTAGGCTTGTGCACAAAAATGAAATAGCCTGTGCGTACACATTTGCATTTACAACCTGCATTAATAATGGTATACATAAAAACGTAAAGGATAAAGTAACTGCATTCAGTACAACATATGAGTGCACGACGTAGTAATATCGAAATGCAAAAAAAATAACAAGTAACTAAAACCCATCTGTACAGACCAAAAGACCAAACTGCACAAAATATCCTTGGTAGAAATTGTCATTTCATTAATTACTAGTTGATGTGTAAAGGCAGTAAAGCTCATGCATGATAAAATATCCTTGTTTTGTTGCTTTTGCTAAAATTTTCCAATTATGGAGTTTTTATATACTAGAAAACAATTGATGTGACTTCCCCTTTCAAATTTTCTGCATCATTACAAGTTCAATCAAGAAGTTAGTTCTACAAGATAGGTGAGTAGTCATAAAGGAGGCTAATATTTCATCTATTTCAAATGCTCAAGATACATGCAAAGATATTTAGTATTCAATTTAAAGTGGTTGCTCCTGTAAAATGGTTGTAAAACATGTCTCCTCAGCATCATGCTCTTAATCTTCACTATGAAAAAGTGAATGATAGATGATGTTGGACAAGTATTGGAGCTGGATGTCATGAAATTGTTGGAACTTTTGCATTTGATCTGGAGATGTCAATGTTAAGAATTTGCCTGCTATATGAAGATCTGGAGGATCTGAATTCCCCATATCTGCAAAGCCCCCCCATATTCCCAAACCCCATATTCCCAAACCCCCTCCCCACAAACCCCCCCCCCCCCCCCCACCCCACCCGCACTCTGCAAAGCAGTAAAAAAAATCACCCAAAAAAAACAATCACCCCAAAAAAAAAAACAGCGAAAAGTCCGTCTAAAAATCCTAAAAAAGGGAAACAACCCACCAAAAACAAGCAACATACCTACCGGCGCAGAAACACCACGCTATGCCCCATCAACGGACACCAACATCGCACACCCCACATGCAACAACATCCCACACCCCATATACACAAAACACGTCGAACTCAAAGTGAATGCAGACGGGATACATGGAATGCGCGCAGAAGATCCTTGCCTCTGTCGCTTGGAACGCCGTGATGAAGACCCCGCCATGAAGACCGCCCGAGACTGAGGTGGAGAAGTATTCGCCGTCAACCGCACGGAAAAGGAACGACACGCCAGAGACGCCAACACCCTTCTCGGAGAGGAACAGACGGACGAGAAGAGAAGAAAGCGAAGAGACGGCAGTCTGAAATATTTAATCATCTGATAAATACCATAATTAGTAGTGCACAAGCCCATAAAATTTGCTAATCAATTATTATAACCTAATAAAGACACCACCAAAAAGACATCAACACCCCCACATGCACACTTATCACACGCACGTGGCACCTTAGACAACCAAATCTCATCCATCCAAAAAAACAAATAGACGTACCAGATCAAGCCTCACCACCTCACCCGACAAAGGTAACCTCACCGGATCCAAAATCTATATATATATATATATATATATATATATATATATATATATATATATATATATATATATATATATAATATAAAATTTAACATAAACTTTGGTCAAATAATTAGTCCGACTAAATACATAGCATTTAAAGTTGAGCATCAAAGATTATAAATCAGGAACTTTAAAATCATTTGATTTTTTTTTTTTAAACAAATTTAGGTTAATTTTTTTTTTTAACGTTTAATTAATCTTCTTTTGACTATTTAGAACAAAACTTAATATTTCAATTTTGCTTTTGCATTATTGGAATGATTTAGGTCATTATGGTATTAATATTTTTTTGTATTTTTTTATAATGGTACAATTGTACATTACTTTACAAATATTATACTATTATTTTTTCTATCAGACAAAATTGTTGTTACATCATTGTGAGACCTGCGCGGCCTAACTACAAAGTTGTTGATAATAAATACAATTACACATGCACTCTAAAATGGTAGGACCATTTTTTAAATAATTGACAATGTTAACATCCTATTAGCTCCAATTAAACAAGTTTACACATCAAAATTTTATCAATACATGAAAGCTTCTAAAGAAATTCGTAAGTTAATTTTCACTATATCATTATAACGATATCTATTGTAACCATATATTTTGAATTATTTATTATCATCCTCTATTCACAGCAATTGTAGCAATTGTCATTGACAAACTTTCAAAACAATTTATCTCAACAAAGAATGAAAATTAAAAAAAAAAATCGTTGACTTCATTATTGTTGATGAAAAGTATGTACGACACTTTATTACTCTTATTAAATTAAATAAATTAGTAGTTACACAAAAAATTATACATATGCATTTAATTAATTTAGAATTAGAAGTCTATAATGCTTTATTTTGAAAAAAATATTCATTATAAAAAAAATAAAAGAAATATAATTTCATTAGTTATATTATCTTTATTTTCTACAATTCAAAGATTCGTTACTTTCAAATTTATTAATTTATTATATTCATTACATTATCCATTGTCTTCGATCTTTTTACATTATCTTGTAATTAGATATCAAAGTTAGAATACCAAACATGTTATATATATTTATTTACCAAGTATTATTTTATACAAATATAATAAATAGTAATATTTTGTTCAATACTTTCACATGATAACCTACGACACACATCTCACAACACATGAAACATGTATGAGAAAAACTACTACTACTAAATATCAATAGGTGTTTGTAAGATAAAGAGTTCATATTACAACTAAAATCTTAGTCATATACACATAATATCATTGTATGATGAATCCCTCTATGCTGCCACCAGTAACCTAATTGCACATGACACACTACCAATAAAAAAAATAAAGGACATGTACTGAAGATGAAAACAATGACAATACTATCCAAAAGAGAATTAAGAAGAATTACTGAATTAGAGAAATTTAAATCAAAAGTAGTATTTATTTAGACTATCGTTGTAAGACTAAGTATTTAGACTAGCGTTATTACAAAGTTGCAAACATTTATTTTAGTGACAATTATAATCAATCTCTCATATATTATCTTAAATTTATATACTTTAAATTACTTAAATAAACAACGTCAGCATTTATTTACCTATGCATAAACATTTCCTATATAATATTGCATTGATATACTTTAAAATACTTATTTAAAAATAATCACTGGGCATTATCCCATTCGCGCAAAGCGCGCAAAAAAACTAGTTTATATAATAAAAAGCATGATTTTAGCATGGTCATTAGAGAAAATAGGGATAATGTAACAAAGTTGAAAAAGGAGATTTTATCAAAAAATGTTGTCAAATATGTAATTTGTAAATGAGATACCAAAATTGTCAATGTTATAAAGAAGTAAAGAACAAAGATAATAAAATTTTAAAATTTCTGTACTAAGTAAAATTTTAATATAATTTAATAATTTTGCTGTTCTATGAGTTAAAATGTAATTTTTTTTAAAAATATTTATGAGTATATATTATCATGGTAATAAATTAGGGACTAAAATAGCTAGCAATTAACAATTGAGGACTAAATTTTTTATTTTTTTTCCCCTTTTTTATGTTTTCTAGTATGCTTAATGTAGTTTTAAATTTTTAATTTTTTTTGAAAGGCGTAGTTTTTAAATATAAATCTTATATATTAATATTAAAATTACGTCGGTGTATTTAATCATGACTTTTAAAATTATAGATTTTTATAATCTTTTATTAACTTTCATAGGTTTTTTTAAAAAAAATTTGTAAAAGTTTATATAAAAAATATATTCATAAACTTTTATTAATTTTTATGACCTTTCTTTTAAAAATCAATGAAAGTCATTAACTTTCAATGACTTCGATTTTTATTATTTATAATTTTTATACAAAAATATTATAATATATCATAAAATTCTTCTTCTAGTTCTTCATCCACATCAAGACATCAACATTATCAATATTATTATTTTGACTTAATTCCATTGGAGGTCCTTTGTCTTTGGTGGCAATTTTAAATTTAGTCCCAAACTATCATTTTTACCATTTTACACCCCAAACTATCATTTTTGGACACTTTTAGTCCTTCTCATGATTTTTTCTATTTTTAATAAGGGCATTTTTGTCTTTTCATATTTTTCTTTTGTTATTTTTCCAGTTTCAACCAGTTTAATTGATTTATGACTTTACTACAAATTGATTGAAAAATATAATTATTAAAAATCAAAGGTTACCTAAAGTTCTAAACCAATTAAACTGGTTGAAACCGAAAAAATAACAAAATAGAAATATGAAGAGACAAAAATGCCCACACTAAAAATAGAAAAAATAATCATGAGAAGGACTAAAAGTATCCAAAAAACAATAGTCTGGAATGTAAAATGGCAAAAACGATAGTCTGAAACTAAATTTAAAATTGCCACCAAAGACAAGGAACCTCCGGTGAAATTAACTCTATTATTTTTATCCATAGTATGATGAGACATTGTATGCTAATTACTTATATATATTATTAATAAACATCTACAAACTAAACTATTTCATATGAAAATTAATAACAATATTGAATATTAAAAATTATAATAACATCAAATAAAATATTCATAAAATTTAAAAATCTTTAAAATATAATAATAATAATAATAATATAAAATTTATATCCGATATACTACTTAGACAAGTAGACATCAAACATTTAAATGAATATTATGAAACATATAATAAAATTTGATGATGATGATATACGAAATGTTTGTTAGACAACTTCACTAGTAGTCATTCTAGTTTAGTTGAGTTCTATATATACTTGAGAGTCCACTCGATGCGCAACTACATACTCTGGACAAGTTAAACATGAGTGCAAGGGCTTTTTCCCCGACTACAAAACAATAAACATGCGCAACGTTTTTATGTGTGGGGATTGGTAATGTGTTTTAAACTAAGCAAGTTGTGTGTCTCGGGTCACACAACAACATCTGTCCACACTTTCCTCGATGGGATGTCCTTCGTCCAACGCCACACTTTCCTGGGCGGGATGTCCTTCGTCCAGCGCCACACTTTCCTGGGCGGGATGTCCTTCGTCCAGCGCCACACTTTCCTGGGCGGGATGTCCTTCGTCCAATGCCACTAATGTCGTGGCAGCAGCTGTGAACTCCCTGCCGTCCCCATTGATCTCTGTCGAGTTAGGCATCTTGACGTCTTGGGTCAAACCCGTGCTAAAACTAGGCATGTCTCTAAGGGCTTCCCTCATCTCAATAGCTTTCTCTATAACCTCCATGTCTGTTGAGTCAAGCATCTTGACGTCTTGGGTCGGACCCGGGCTAAAACTAGGCATGTCTCTAAGGGCTTCCCTCATCGCAATAGCTTTCTCTATAACGTCCAACGTTTTGAGGTTCTCTGGCTTGGCCCAAAAGGGATTGTCCCGCAGACCCCGGTCACTCGAAGGAACTTCCCTCAACCCCAACAGCATCTGCGTTACATCCACCATATGCTTGAAATTCTCGTCTAACGCAACCTTTGGGGGGGCATGTCTCACCATTTCTACCATGTCCACCACTGAAGCAGCAAGTGCTTTTACTGTGTCGGTAAACTGAGCGAGAAAAATCTGTCACCAAATTGTACACGGTTAGTATGGGATAGAGAGTATATATACAGAAGTAATTCTACAGATGCACCCAGTGCATCCTAAATTACACAGTAAGATTAAAAAGTTTATTAACTATATATATTCCTAGAGCCCCTAAATTATATTATGCACTTGGAAACTGGATTCTACTGGTTTAATACCCCCCAGTAAAAGTATAATATCAAAAACTCGGATTCTACTTTGGAAATAACTAAGCCTAAAGAAAACAGTATTAGATTTGCCCAAGTAGTTAAAATGGCTGTTAGTATGGGAGTGGGTACAAACCTAATAAAGCTACATACAGAGCAGTGTACAGTGTTTTTGCCTGAACAGCCAAAATACAGTAGAACAATACACTCACAAAATGCACTGCTATTCTGTCATAAATACACACAAAATTGCACAAACACTAAATCTAACAACCCATCATGGTAGATCCCATCCACTAGGCTGCAAAAGGGTTCAAAACTCACTAATGCACTATAGTAAAAAAGAAACAAACGAAAACAATGCTGGTTTGACTCGATTAGTGTTACCAAAACCGGAAAAAGAGAGCTTGATTTACCCGAGTAGTGGGAATGGCTGAAAATATGGGATGGAGGCAGGATTTAGCGTGAATTATACATACCAAAATAAAATAAAATTTTGAAAACAGAGTCCTCAATGATGTTTATGCCTTAAAAACAAACATCAAAACAATTCATTAACAAAATGCGCAGCAATACTGCCACAATATAATGCACAGCTAAATATACAATAACACATACAACAAAACACCAATGCTCTAAGAATAATTTCAGAAATACCTGCGGCTCACTAGCTTGGTCCGTACGCCCTGGTACATGATGTGAGAGACCATCGAGCACCGTTGGCGAACCTGGCACGGAGGCAGGGAGTGAAGGAAAGCTCATTCCAGGCCTCAACGGCACGTCAATGTCGCCCATCCCAAACCCCCCACCCTTTATCTCTTGGAGTTGCCGCTGATTCAGAAGTTTAGTGGTCCACCCCCTGAGTGCAGGATAAAACCTAGGAACACTCCGGCTGCCAAACACCACACGATCCATGTATAGGATCTGCTCAATGGGAAATTAATTAGTTAAGTGCATGAATTATAAGGATTTTATAATTTATACCATGTCAAACAGATTATGTGCATAGAAAACTTACAGTAAGGAACACTATGGGTCCGGTGTATTTCTGGACCTTATGCTCCGACCAATCACCATGGGTGTGCACCAAGCGCTGAAGTAGGTAACCACACCAATCCAGATTCTCAATCTGCATCACATCATCGAGCATGTGAAGTATCTGCTGATTAGCATACCCGTTCTGGTTGCTCTCAATTAATGTGGTAGCCACGATAACCGAGAAATGGCGCTTAAACCAAGCACCACCGGCTTTATCTGCCAGTAAAGCATCACACACCTCTGTAGGCGTGATATTGCCTTCCGGGGAACCTAAGATACTCCTCCACTCGCGCAGCATTGGACCGACCTCGTGTTTCCCCCGTACGGTGATTGCAACTCCACCCATCGGAAGTCCAAGACACGCAGCAACGTCCTCCCTGCCAATCCGAATCTTCCTATCCCCTTGAACCGTCAATGACAGGTCGCACGGATTGAAGTTAGTGACCAACCAGTGGCCTAACCGTTGCGGAGTTTCCCTGAATCCCAAATGCAGAAGGTGCCCAAAACCGATTTCCCTCACCGCCTGCCGTTGCCTTGCATTGAGAGAACTCACTGCTCTCAAGAGCTGCCTCGTGGTACCACGAGTCTTAATAGTCGGATACCTAGCCTCCTCCTCCGGTGTGAGCACCATTTCTGCCATCTCGGGATCGTTTCGAATATGCTCTACAAACTCCTGTGCAGATGTTTCGAAATCATCATCAGAGCCTGAGCCTGAGCCTGCCATAACACGATGAACTTCAACATGACCCTATTTGACGCATAAACCACCCACACTGATAGTGCACCACTAAACTCTAAACCTTGGTGATTTGTTACTCGCTCGTCAACCCAAAACCCCCACGGGAGATACAATCCCTTCCTCGCAAAATAAATAAATTAGCCCTAATTTACGCAATTGGAAACGGCCGTCTACCGGCGCCGGCTAACACCTACTATACATTAGGCACACCATGCAAGTATGTGTGGCTTATAATATAATAATAATCCATACGCTAAAGAAGTGCAGTAATCAAAACCCATACAATGAAAATCCTACTTACCTCCGCGCTCGTCTCGTCCGGCTTGGAGCCTCATCGAGCGTCGTCTCTTTGCGTCTCCGACCATTTGTTTGACCTCGTCGCCGGCTTTCTTCAAGCTTCACTGCGTGCGCTCGTCAGGAACGACTAGTGGACTTCGTCGATCACAACAAAATTTGGGGACCAAAAGCTTTGGGGGGAAGCTGCGCCTATTTTGTAGGGAGTGTTTGGGATGGGTTTGGCCCATACTGCCCTCATCAATTTCTTTCCTATTTATCCCGTGACCCGAGTTTAAAGATACACAATTTACCTTTTAAAATTTTATAATTTGTGATTATCATGTTTTATATTTACAAATTTTTAAAGTTTAGAAACACAATTTATATTTTAGATATTCACAATTTCAATACTAAAAATACACAATTTAGAACCAGGGTCCACCTTGGGTCCAAAAATACACAATTTACTTACTAAAATGTTACAGTTTTACCTTTTAAAAATTTATAGTTTGTGATGATCATATATTGTATTAATAACAAATTTTCAAGGTAAATATTTACAGTTTTACCTTTTAAAAATTTGCAATTTGTGATGACCATATATTGTATTAATAACAAATTTTCAAAGCTAAGAAACATAATTTATATTCTAAATATGTCCACAATTTCAATACTAAAAATATACAATTTAAGAATTTACCTGATAAGGTGGACCCTAGTCTATGGTATAACAATTGTGTTTTAACTTCTAACTACCGGTACATAATAATTATATGAGATGCACTCAAACAATAGTGGCATGCCTGTTTCTATAGCGCAAATTATGCTGTGGACTCGTGTCCACAATGCATTGTGGACACGAATTCCAAACGACGTCGTTTTTAGGAAAAACGTGGCATTCTAGTTTTAAAAAAAAATTAATTTTGTCACGTCGTTAATGGCGTTATTCGTTTGTGGAATTATGAATGTACACTTATGTAATTATGAATATACAGTTATGGAATTATGAATACAAAGCTCTGAGATTATGAACTTACAATTATATTAATTGTATTTAGAATTAATTTAAAAAATAGTTTTTATTTATTTAATACTTGTTTTTGAATAAATAAATCTATTGTCTATAGATCGGTATACTTGTGTATTATTATGAATCTAAAATATTATTACATTCTTTTTAAAATTAATTTTTTTTTTTTTGAAAATTTTTTAAAATTAATTTAAACTTCTATATGTTAACTATTATATAGACATTCCGGTTATCATTTCAAATAGGTGGTCATCTACAAAGGTGGGGGTGCAGATTCTTTGATTTGAAACGGTTAATTCGGTTATATAGACATTCCGGTTAATTCCGGTTCGGTTAAAACGGTTCGGTTAACCGATTGAACACCCCTAATCATGTCTATTCCAAAATTTAAAAAAAAAAAAAAAAAAAAAAAAAAAAAAAAAAAAAAAAAACTTCTATATCATATCATAAAGTAGTAGAAAAATTTAATGTATACAATTTAATTTAAGTTTAATATCAACATTAATAATATTTTTAAAATAAAATTTTCACAAAAATCTAAAATAATTAAAAACATAATTGAAGATATATTTTAATTAATTTGATAAGAAAACAATTAAAAAATTAAAAATATTAAAGAACTGTAAATATTATTCATTTATTTACTCATATATAATATGTTATCCATAATAATAAATTAATTATAGATACAATTCTGAATATTGAGAGGGAATTACACTAGGTAGGTAATATATAAAATAAAGCCATTAGCTGGATAAAATATATTATTGCTTTAATTAATCTTTAGTAGCTTACCAAGGCAATAAACAATGAATGCTAACCTCTAACACCTTTGTCCAAAAGTCAACAACTATATAAAATTATAGTAGCACTGCACATTGTAATTTATAATGGTAATATATTAATTAATTTCTATACATAAAAGTCAAGACCCCCATATTAATATATTATATACTTTTTGAGTTAAACTCAACCATTATTTCATAGATCATGGTTCATATAATTATGTAAATCATAAATAAGAAGTTTATTTTTAATATACTAAAAGTACATTAATTATTTGTGCACGTAAAATACATTATTTAAATATTAAAAATACATCGTTTTATATATATTATAAAATAACGTATATTTAGTATACAAACATACTTTTAGTATATTAAAAATGTACATTATATTAATGGTAGATGCAACTGTATGGACCTGGTCGATAGACAAATTTGCCAAACTAAACCTAGACCAATCACATGTCAACAACCGTTATGCTGTGGAACCGTGTCCACCTTGCAAGACGGACAAAGTTCTATGTTCATAATTACCGAACTATATGTCCATAATTATAAAGTTATATATTCACAATTATTGAATCTCTATATTCATAATTAGAAAACTATATGTTCATAATTATAAAACTATATGTTCATAATTTTTTGAATTATATATTTATAATTATGAACAGTTTTGAAACCGAGTCCACCTTGCAATGTAGACACGTTTTCACATGTATAAATAAAAAGTGCATTGCCCTCCAAAAAAAAAAAAAAAAAATGAATGAAATTTCCTCTATAACCTGCATTATCATTGCTTTTTTGTTTCTCTTGATTCCGGCGAATAATGCATTCACCCCCTCTGCCTTGACCTCGCCGGAGTCCATATGCAACGCCACTCCAAGGCCGGCGTTCTGCATAGAGGGGTTAGAGCCGATGTCCGGCTTCACCTTCCACGACGTCGCCAGGCAATCATTTAAGTATTCGCTTTACATCACACAGAACATGTTCTACCCCCACGTCGACCACGCTTTCTATAAACTTTGGGAGTCGCTGGGTTCTGTGTCACCCGAGAACCCAATGCTTTACGCCCTGGGATCCTGCGAAGCTCTCATCCGGAAGAACAAGAGGATCTTGTTTCGAACCCTTGAACAGATTAAGTGCAGAGACAAGGTGGAGAACCCGTCAGAAGCCCAAAGCTTGACGAATTTGTTACGCAGCGTGGTGAGGAACCACGAGACCTGTTTTGATGCTCTTACTGGAGCTGTGGCATCGGCTAATAACGCTACGAATGGGATGGAGATTGAGGGTCTTTTGAGTGACCGTTCAACTGGGAGTGAGTCATACAATGAAACTCTGGAGCTTTTCATGCTAGGTTGGGGTCAGGACCAAATCATCACACATTCTGCACCGCGCGTAGATGACTTCATCACACCCTTGCATAGTTGCATTCATACATTCTTGAATTACGTACCCTACCTGTAATAATCATCCCATCCTGGGAGGTGAAGTAAATTCTACTAACCCAAGGGGTCTGAGTCGAATATCAAATTGTATGTTTTGTATTTATAAGGGGATATGCTTGATGTTAATGAAATTGTTATCTTTCTCTTAGCTTTTTTCATTCTCTGTTCTTTACCTCTTTTTCTCCCCTCCTGCTGCACTCTTTTTTTTTTTTTTTTTTTTTTAATCCTTCGAAAATCCATTAAACATACCCATTTTCTAAATTCATCATCATATCATAAAAGGTATTGTCGTAATGATTTATAATGTTAGGCTGATGACAACATACAATAATATTTGCAAAATCTTTTATTATTCATCAATTCTAATTTTAGAGTACAAGATTAGGCCATATATCAATCGTTATACCCTGCACCACGGCGCCTCCCAAAACGACGTCGTTTTGGAAGACGCGGTAGGAAGTTGACATGATTATGTATATTTTTTATTATGTACATTTTTTTATACAATTATGTACATCTGAATCAGGAAATTTTTGTGTATTATGTTAAGAGTTGATGTGTATTAGGTTAAAAGTTTATGTTTATTATGTATTATGTTAGATTATGTGTATTATCTTTTAAAAAAGAGTATGTGTATTTTGTTATATAATTATGTACATTCATGTATACAATTATGTGTATTCTAGTATAACATTATGTACATTTTTGAACATGAGATTTTTTTTAAAAGAAAATTAACTGCCAAACACTGGGTAGCGAAATTTCAAAAAAAAAAAAAAAATGAAACGATGTCGTTTTGCATCTGGGCGCACAATGCAACGCGCGCCATGGTGCAGGATATAAATTGCCGCCATATATATAGGTACAAGAATTAGAGATGGCAAAGGGGTGGGGCGGGGCGGGGAGTATTACCCGTCCCCGTCCCCATCCCAACGGGGAATTGAAAATTTCTCCATCCCGTCCCTGCGGGGAATTAGGTAGGGACATGTATTCTCCATTCCCCGTCAACTCCTAGTCAAAATGTTAAATAATTGTAATTTTTAATAAAAAAAAATAATAATAAAATCTAAGTCTTAGTTTCAAAAATTAAAAATGAAGTCTACGTGCGTATATATCTATATAGGGTTGAGTTCACATGAGGACCACAATATATAGAGAACTGTGCGGACTGATTATGGGCACCACGATAAATTAGTATCATTAGGCACACAACTTAATACACAATGGCACACAAGAATACATGTAAACATCAGGTTTCGAACCCAAATTATGTCACACGACTACATTCGGCCATGCACACGACATATAGACTAATGACACACGACTACATCCGTCTTCACGGTCCTCTATAATATAGTGGTCCTCATTTAAATATATGTGTAGTATATTGTCTGTATATATAGTTCATTACATATATACATAATATACTGCCATATATGTGGCATTATATATATATATATATATATATATATATATATATATATGTGTGTGTGTGTGTGTGTGTGTGTGTGTGTGTGTGTGTGTGTGTGTGTGTTCGTCCGGAAATTGGCTCGGCCGAAATCGAGAGCAGTGCGCCGAGAGCACAACTCGTGCAACGGTGACCACGAGAGATGCAAAGGCCGACTCTCGAAAGTTGAGACCGAACCCTGCACGCCAACGGTCTGGAACCCGAAAGTTCTGACTGTTATGGGGATTGAATTCATCTGTTACGGAATTAATATCCTATTAACTCCAATTTTGAATTCTGAATTCAATTCCCAAGTAGTGGCCTGCTGTTATAGCTGTTGGAAGTCAGCTTTAATGTCAGTTTTGATTGCCATATTAAAAGCTATTGACTCCTCCACCCCTATATAAGAGAGGCAGTGAGAAGCAGATTTTTATACACATGAGCACAAGCACTCTACACGAAACTTAGAGTTTTCAAGCCTCAAAATTCTGCT